ATTAGCTCAAACAGCCCTGGAGTAAGTGCTGCAAATAAAACGTTCTGCCCCAGAGGATAATTTTACTCATCTCTGACAGAGGAGGCCCATTTTTATGTATTTTTTAAATAAAAATTCTTTCTTCTCATCGAAATTCCACATAAAAAGCCCTTTTCTATTAAAACCACCTGACGTAGCTTTGAATTTTCACTGCCTGCTTTGTTTCACTTTTAATTTTTTTAATCAAACATTAACATAGGTCCAAGCTTTTAAATGCACGACGATGCTCCTGATAATATCAATATCTGGATCGAGCCATGAAATCAAGTTAATTATGTAAAAGTTGGATGAAGAGACAGGATCATTCAGACTGAGGTCCCTTTAAAAAACAGTGGGTATGTATCTGATGAGAATGAAAGAGGTTCAACTGAGATGAAATTATGACTGTAAATGTGTAGAGAAGTCAAGGATTAATAAAAATATATTTCAGTACCAAATTTAAAACAGTACTGCTGTTACTTAAAGTACATGCAAATCCTTTAAATACAAAAAGTCAAAGAAAACATCTTTAGGTTTAAGAAACTTGACATGATGCACTATTTTACCCATTTTGTCTCATATTTCCTTCTGAACTTGGCTTGGTCAAGTGAAACAGGAAGTGACATCAAAGGGGAACTTTCTGGTCTTTGTTTATTAAAACAAAATTATTTGAACTCCGAACTCTTCATCTTTCAAAACAATCTAAAGGAAACATCAGATTCTTCTCTAGTCTGTGTTGTCAACGCTCTGTTTACATGCCGACACTCCCCTTTGACATCACTTCCTGTTTCTTCACATGCAAATATCTGAACAACTGTTCATCTGAACAGTGTAAATTTTTATTTTTGCAGTGTTAATGTCATCTTTCCAAAAATGTATTCCTATTTATTACAAAAATTTGCTGCCACAGGCACTAGTTAAATTCAGCTAAATGTACTTGAAACTAAGAGAGAAAGTTATTTTCTCACAGGAAGTGTGCAAACACGTGTTCAGGGGATCTCTCACCTCTCTGGTGGTTGAAGATGGAAGAACAAACCCCTCAATAGACAAACCATGACACTGCAACAAAACAACAAATAAAAACCATAATTGGAGGCGGTGTGCTGCTGACCAGGAAATGATTTAAAACTCTGGTCGTTCTCAGACCTTCTGCAGGATCTTCCACACTTTTTGGTAGAAACCGACCGGCACGCGGTTCAGCGCTCCGTCCAATCGCCTCCTGCGCAGCCACTGGCCGTGTCGCGTGTCTTTGGAAATCGGGAAGCTGTCAGGAAGATCGATGGATTCTGCAGTGGAGAGTCTGTACCTCTGAACAGCGATGGCGACAAAACCAAAAAGACAAACGACACAAAACAGAGAATTAGCGCCCTCCGCCTACTTTAAGTCACAGTGTGATCCTGTTAACTGAAGATCTGAGCGCTTTTCAATGGGAGGCTGACGCTTCTTTAAAAACCCACTCTCCTCTCATGAATTATTCCAGTCCTCGAGGAGTGAGGAGGGGGAAAAAAAAGATTCTGGGAAGCTCAAAGAAAACATGAAGAGGCATCCAACAAGAAAACGTGTCAAGGATGAAAAAAGTAACAAACTTCTTATTCGTGGATTACTTTTAATGTGTTCTCGTCTGTAGGAGGACGTAATGTAAACTAGACATCTGACAAAAACGTGGAAGCTGAAGGAAGGGAGCCAGCGCTCACACAGCCTGATTTCAGTACAGGTTTTAAGCCTCTCCCCCTCCACATAAACAGAGCATTGAACCATTCAGGGTTCAGGCTGTGGGTTTAAGCGTCGGCTACCGTAAGATTCCACCGGGGGCGCCTAAGCTTTATGAACTCTGAATATTTACGTTGTTTTATAAAAAAAAAACGGCAGTTCTTAAAAGGCTAGCTTGTTTGTTTTGAAGTGGGGTTCTGCAGAAAGGTTCTGAACAAATATCTTACTTAATAAYAGAGTTTAAGTTCGACAGATTGGGCATTTTTTTTTCTCCCAAAATTTTATAGTTTATCCAAATGAAGTTCTACAGACTATAGTCTGTTTCACAACAGTTCCAGGAGAAATACTATGATGAGCAAGAAGTGGTCCAAATTGCACAAAAAGTGTTACAGCTAGATGCTACTGTCATGATTAGCATGTGAAAATAATTATAGAATTCTCTATAAATAACCACAYAAATCAAAACTGGACTTTGTTTCAGTGGTGTAGCAACTCACTTCGGTCCTAGCTTCATTCGGACTAGCCATTAGGCCCAACACAATAACGAAATTTTGCCAGTCGATAAATTGTCAGAATTGTGCTAAGCTAATCAAACTAAGTACTKTTAGTTTTTTTTAAAGCTGATAATWAATTTTTGTCTATTTCTTTAAGCATTCAAACACTTTAGCATCACTAATAGTTGGATGGTACACCACTCCTCCAAAGTGAGGTTGTTTGCAGATCTATCTAGAACAGGTAAGATATTTGTTTGTTCGAATCATTCCATTGAAGCCCACCTTCAAATATCTGAACTTTAAGCTTAAAGTAACTGGTATTATAGAGAAATAGTTGCAGAGCGCTTTGTGTTCGAGTAAATTACATCTTTTTTGTTTGTTTGTACGGAGAAGAAGCTACAGGAAATCAGCATCCTTAGAGAGAAAAACGCAGCTACAGTTTGCAGCTTAGAGGAGGTTGCCTTAGAGATGAGGTCTCGGAGGTTTGTGCATGGCTCAACTCCTAAATGCTCTGTTAAAATGTAAAGTTACACACACACATGCAAGCACACACACACACGTCAGTGGGTTAAAGCTGTTCTCACACAGTCTAAGTGGTCAACAACACTCAGCACAAACACAGTAAACATGTGAAGCAGCCGTAACATTTTCCTCTGCTGWTTTATTTTGCTGAGACACGTCCGATTATTTTCTGCGCCCCGTGGCTTCTCACTGCACGGCGCACGCCCCGCTGGGCAGGAAGTCCTGCGCGTACACCGCCACGGCCTTGGTGAGGTAGGTCATGCTCCCAAAGCGCCCGCTGGGGGCGCTGTCGTACAGCAGCCTGCACACGCCTGTGGACGGGTCCTTCTCCAGGATGTGCTCTTCTGCTCCCAGGTCCTTCTGCGGGGGGGGGAGGGGAAGAGGGGAATGAACCAAAACAAATACATTTTTGAAAATCGATGCGGGTATTTGGGAGCGGCGCKCACCGACCTGGTCTTTGTAGAACATGTCGTTGGCCTGCTGGACGATCTTCTCCACGTGAATGATGGAGCCGATGCTGGGGATGTCCACATCTGCCAGCATGGTGAGGACCAGGATGGCCTCCACCAGCAGCTGTCGGTACTCAGGCTGAGGGACCCGGTTCAAAACGGTCTCCACGTGGACCGAGAACTTTATCTCCCCGGGGGTCATCTGACCATGAAAGGAAATAATAGATTTAGGGCAACAGACCATAAAAAAAAAGAGTAATATTTTTAAACTTCATAGGTGATGATTTTAGTATAAAATACAACATAAAGWACCTCTGATAAAAGTAAATTATCTCTACTGAAATAAAAAAATAAATAAATGTTCGTGCTAACACTTTGGATGAAAGCAGAGTTTCTCCTTCACGTTTTTACAATGTTAATCAGGGATATTCAACTGATGGCCCATGGGCCACATCCAGCCCATAGGTGACTTCCATCTGGCCACCCTCAATTTTTTTCGTACTAAATCTAATATAAAAATATATATTTTAAATCAATTGTAAGTTTAAAGTTTAAATTTATGATTTAATTTGAGGAACTGTGCCCCCCTGAGCAATTAGCTCAAACAGCCCTGGAGTAAGTGCTGCAAATAAAACGTTCTGCCCCAGAGGATGATTTTACTCATCTCTGACAGAGGATTTTTATGTTTTTTTCTAAATAAAAATTCTTTCTTCTCATCGAAATTCCACATAAAAAGCCCTTTTCTATTAAAACCACCTGACGTAGCTTTGAATTTTCACTGCCTGCTTTGTTTCACTTTTAATTTTTTTAATCAAACATTAACATAGGTCCAAGCTTTTAAATGCACGACGATGCTCCTGATAATATCAATATCTGGATCGAGCCATGAAATCAAGTTAATTATGTAAAAGTTGGATGAAGAGACAGGATCATTCAGACTGAGGTCCCTTTAAAAAACAGTGGGTATGTATCTGATGAGAATGAAAGAGGTTCAACTGAGATGAAATTATGACTGTAAATGTGTAGAGAAGTCAAGGATTAATAAAAATATATTTCAGTACCAAATTTAAAACAGTACTGCTGTTACTTAAAGTACATGCAAATCCTTTAAATACAAAAAGTCAAAGAAAACATCTTTAGGTTTAAGAAACTTGACATGATGCACTATTTTACCCATTTTGTCTCATATTTCCTTCTGAACTTGGCTTGGTCAAGTGAAACAGGAAGTGACATCAAAGGGGAACTTTCTGGTCTTTGTTTATTAAAACAAAATTATTTGAACTCCGAACTCTTCATCTTTCAAAACAATCTAAAGGAAACATCAGATTCTTCTCTAGTCTGTGTTGTCAACGCTCTGTTTACATGCCGACACTCCCCTTTGACATCACTTCCTGTTTCTTCACATGCAAATATCTGAACAACTGTTCATCTGAACAGTGTAAATTTTTATTTTTGCAGTGTTAATGTCATCTTTCCAAAAATGTATTCCTATTTATTACAAAAATTTGCTGCCACAGGCACTAGTTAAATTCAGCTAAATGTACTTGAAACTAAGAGAGAAAGTTATTTTCTCACAGGAAGTGTGCAAACACGTGTTCAGGGGATCTCTCACCTCTCTGGTGGTTGAAGATGGAAGAACAAACCCCTCAATAGACAAACCATGACACTGCAACAAAACAACAAATAAAAACCATAATTGGAGGCGGTGTGCTGCTGACCAGGAAATGATTTAAAACTCTGGTCGTTCTCAGACCTTCTGCAGGATCTTCCACACTTTTTGGTAGAAACCGACCGGCACGCGGTTCAGCGCTCCGTCCAATCGCCTCCTGCGCAGCCACTGGCCGTGTCGCGTGTCTTTGGAAATCGGGAAGCTGTCAGGAAGATCGATGGATTCTGCAGTGGAGAGTCTGTACCTCTGAACAGCGATGGCGACAAAACCAAAAAGACAAACGACACAAAACAGAGAATTAGCGCCCTCCGCCTACTTTAAGTCACAGTGTGATCCTGTTAACTGAAGATCTGAGCGCTTTTCAATGGGAGGCTGACGCTTCTTTAAAAACCCACTCTCCTCTCATGAATTATTCCAGTCCTCGAGGAGTGAGGAGGGGGAAAAAAAAGATTCTGGGAAGCTCAAAGAAAACATGAAGAGGCATCCAACAAGAAAACGTGTCAAGGATGAAAAAAGTAACAAACTTCTTACTCGTGGAGTACTTTTAATGTGTTCTCGTCTGTAGGAGGACGTAATGTAAACTAGACATCTGACAAAAACGTGGAAGCTGAAGGAAGGGAGCCAGCGCTCACACAGCCTGATTTCAGTACAGGTTTTAAGCCTCTCCCCCTCCACATAAACAGAGCATTGAACCATTCAGGGTTCAGGCTGTGGGTTTAAGCGTCGGCTACTGTAAGATTCCACTGGGGGCGCCTAAGCTTTATGAACTCTGAATATTTACGTTGTTTTATAAAAAAAAAACGGCAGTTCTTAAAAGGCTAGCTTGTTTGTTTTGAAGTGGGGTTTCAGTGAGAAGTTATGGATGATTAATATCTTACCGTTGATGAGCTAATGGCTAGTCTTAGTGTACCAAAGTGAATTCTTGCTGTCCTTGAATAAATCCAATCTGAAAAGTTGGTGTGCATTTCTTTTATTATTTCTTCTAGTTATTTAGGACTAATGGAACCTCAAATATAAAAACAAGCATTGTTTAGGAGCAATTAGGAATTTAAGATATAAATATATGTTTAATTTCAAATTAAAGATAAAATGTAATGTGTTTAAAGAGCTACCTATAACAGGTAAGATATTTATTCCTTTTAACTTTGCCCCAGAACCAAATTTCAAATTGGCTAAAATCTTTTGAAATAACTGGTTACAGTTATTTCAAAAGAAAGCATATCCATGCAGCAAACACAGTTTCTTTTTTTCTTGTGAGGTAATCTTGAACATGAACCTAGAAGTGAAAACACAAATTCACCAATGAGCCAAAACATTATGACCATGGACAGATGAYGACATAAACACATAGATCTAATAGAAAAACACTGATTCCTGGAATTCACGTGTGTTRTTTTGACAGTCCAACAACACCCCCACATGGACATGATACTTCCTAACAGTGGCAAGCCTCCTTCAAATAGGAAACCACAAAACTTAAGACAAATTTTATAAAAAAGGCTAAAAAATGACAGAAACTACTTAAATGACATTTCTTTAAAAGCATGTCTAAAACTCAAGGCCCTCGGGCCAAATGTGGYCCCACGTGGCATTTTATGTRGCCAACAAGAGCTAGATGTATTAATGTCTYAAAATAAGCTGCTTTAAAGCCAGCATTMACCATAAACTACATCTCCCATAATGCATGTTGATTATATTACCTAMAAAATGATGGCCTCCCACCACTAGGTGGAGGTGCACAGGAAAAAATAGCTATTAAACAATAGCAAGAAAAAAAACATCTYGTCAAATCTCAATGTCATTGCATTTTTGCCGGCCACTTTTGCTGCTTCCCAGTTGTACTGGGAAGTGGGAATAATCCCACTTACAAGTCATAAATTTAAACTGGAATGCCCCTCCAGTGGGAATTCCCTGTTGGAAAATCGGAAAAATCTAAATTCAAGACAACAGCAACTCATCACCACACAGTGAGTAAAACTCTTACTTTTACTTTTAATAATATTTCTGTATTGTTTATAGTCAGTCGTACTTGTAGTATTTTTCAGTGTTTATAAGAGGATGAGTTAAARCACTGTTTCTATACAGGAAAAACCACGTAGAGCTCAGTTAGTGTTCGTTAGCTGTGCTCAGTCGTACCAACAAAAAGAGGAACATGACGATTCTTGTTTAGTTGAAGTTAATCAGGAAACATCAAAGTTAATTACAATCGGCCCTTTGAGGACCACCATAATACTCATGTGGCCCTCAGTGAAAATCAGTTTGACACCCCTGCATTAAAGCAAACCCAACCAAGAGATTTTACTCCAGAATACACATGGCACAAAAGTTGTAATAATAATGATGTACGTATAACCAGAAAATTAGGATCAAGGAGACATTTTATTCTATTCTTTAATTGTAAAATGGGTGGTCATAGTAATATGGCTGATTGCTGTATCTCTGAAGGAAACCCAACAGGGGCAGGAAGGAAACATGCAAGTGGTATGAAAAGTACCCATGGTGGTTTAAATGTGTCTGTGTTCCCTTGTGTCATTTCACACTTTAGTAAAACAAATTAAAAAAAGAAAAAAAAGAAAATATTTGCCCAGTTACAGGACCAAAAACTGGTAAGAGACAGCAGAWCTTTACCCCAGGATCGAAGCTTTCTACGTCCAGTGACTGTGCTCGCACCCCCTAAAGAGCAAACAACAAAAATAGAGAGAAAACAAAAAACAAACAAAAAAGATATTGAAAAAAMGTCTGACAAGTAAAAAATAATTAATAGTAATTAAAAAAAAAGAGTGACTGGTGGATCTGATCCAACCCCAAAGTAGGTGAAATCACAACATGCATAAAACGTGAAAAGAAGGAATTAAGATGGAGGTGAGATGACAGTTCCTGCAAGAATTAGTGAAAATTATCCACAAAACAAGAAAATACAAACCAAACATTCTCCATTTTGAAAACATAATGACTCCGAACTCAAAATTTTAAAGTAGAGAAAAGCAGGCAAATGTCAAAATTTATATTAAAATACACCAATCCTCGAACACATACAAATAAGTAATAAAAAAACATAAATGTGTGTGTTAGCTTACTTAATTAGTTTAAAAAAAATTGTCTTTTTCTTGGTTCTAATCATTTCATCAGTAAGAATTACTGAAACGACAACAAAAATGGCGGTGTTAGCTGCAGCTGTGTAAACTCTCAASATTTAACAACGTCAGAAATTAAAGTTGCAGTGCTTTAGAGCAGCCAAATCACTGAGGTCAATTATTTTCARTTTAACAGAAGTCATTACGGTCACCTTATAAGTTGGTGTCAGAGACTGGTCAAGCTGAAAAGAAGAAAAAAAGAAGTCCGCTCTGGGTTAGGTGTTTTAACCTTTCTTACATCCAGAAATATTTAACATCTCACCCACAACATGTCCCAGATGCTGAGTCTGGGTTAATGAGCGCTTGAAATTAGCTCTCTTGGTATCAGATGGTGTTTTCGTTGTAAGGCTCAAAGCTCATGGAAGCAAAGGAGATTGTGGCTTTTTATTTTAAAATCAGTTGAACCATTTGTAATATTAAATAGTTCAAGTTGTTCCTGTCGCACAGGAGATTCCCTGATCTTTTAGAGACATTCTTTGAACTTCGTCTCTAATTATTTGTGGGGTTCCTCAAGGCTCCATCTTTGGTCCCATTTTCTTCTCATTATTTATGTTTTCCTTGGAGTCCATCTTCAGAATATACAACCTGGACTTTCACCATTTTGCTGATGACCTTCAGACCTACTGTGTTTAAATGTATTTAATGTGACCCTCTATTTTTAGCATTAAAAAAAAATCTAATGCTTGAGTATAATGATACCCCTAATTTGGTTTGTCCATCACTAAAGATGTCGAAGTTGAAGATGGAATTTTTAAAAAGTCTACAGGATGCCTCTTTTGGATCTATACACTGCAATGCTAACAATTATCTCAAATACAGTATATAGTTGATACATATACAGCATCAGTGAACCATTAAATTTTTCTAATGTGAATTAAATATCGCAACATTTTTTTAAAAACAAAAATGTAGCATCCTAACAAATAACRTGTCTTTTTGTGTTGCTGTTTTACTTGGACCTGAAAATTGTAAAAAGAATGACAATTGTTTTTAAGTTACTAGGACCAGGCACAGGTTTTAGTAGACAAGAACAGTCTGCTTGAGTTTATAAATTGAAACTAACACGTGTGGAGCACTTAGAGGACTTTCTATCAGTCATCTATTAATGAGCTTCCATCTGCAGGGTGAGTCAAAATTTTATTTCAGAAAAAGAAGAGAAAATTATTCAGTATGTCTGAATATCCCAGCAAGTAGTGGGAGAGGGACCTATCTTGCTATGAACACAGTGTGGCTGCCATCTTGAAAGCTGCCATTTTGGATCAAAGACAAGTTTGTCTAAAAATAATCCCCTYACCCATAGCATTTCCTCTTTTGTTTATGAAATAAAAGGGTGTCAATGAGACTTTTGCTCACTGTGTATTAGTGAGCTTTAACACATTTTATTATTCCATTTGTTGAATCCCTTTTGGACAGTTTGTATTATGTCGATAACACAAAAATATGTGTTGTAGATAGGATTATTGAATTAAGAATTAAGTTAATTTTCTATCAATTTAAAAACGATTGGAAACAAAAATTCGAAACAAACTTTTTAACAGTTTTTAGAATGTTTTTGTAATTATGCCTTCCTTATCCCCACAATTCTGCTTTGCATCACAGCAGGTGAATTAACACCCACTTTTATATGAATAAAAATCATCATCATCATCACCTCCTTACTCGGATCCATCAAAGACAGCCTGCGCTCCAGCTGTAAAAAGCACAACAGTCAGTTTATCGCAGGGTTTAAAACACAATCATAGGCAGCTTTCTTTCCCAAACAGCTGCTGAGTTTCTTCACCTCCAGATGCAAAGAATCAGTTCAAACTGTGTCAAACTGAGCGGCCCCTACGTTCCTGTAAGAGGAGATTCCCTACCATCTTCATGTCGCTCTTCAGCTTGCTGATGCCAGCTCGCTCGCTCTTGGTGGCGCCGGCGTTGCCCAGGTGATGGATGGAGATGGCGGGACTGACGCCGGTGTCCCCCTCCCTCACTGTGGAGGAGCAAAAACACAAGAAGTGAACAAGAAAACGTTACAGTAAAAAGTCAATTCGACATCCCTGGACTGAGACATTTACAGTCATAGGAGAAAAAAGTCTTTCAATTGTAAAATTTAACTTGTCAGGACTTAATAAAAGTGATGTTGTCCATAGCAAGTTTTAAAATGATTCGAATTGAATCTCAAATGTACAAAAACACAACATATTCCACCAGGTTGTTATTTATTAAACCAAAAAAATGTATCCATTGTTACTAGTTATATAAACTTAGTACAAAAAGTGAGGAAATGTGCGTCTGGTAGATTAAATTGTAAAAATGCTTCTTGGTAATAAAACGTATACCATTGGAAAGCCTGTTAATTTCCCGTTTAAATGCTGCCGCATTTGTAAGGAACGTGCATTTGTGGAATAAGCAGTAGAGCTGAGTATCTGGGTTGTACACATGAAAGATTTGCCAAATCTTCTCTGCCAAACAGCTTATTTTTATATTGACTTGTTTGGTGGACTGGACAAGATAAATTTAACGATTTATACATTTAACAAACAGGATCATGTGGAAGAACCATACACAGCCACAACACCTTGGCTCCTCCTCCCCATGCTGGTCACACACTACTGGCATCCCATTCTTCAACCAGCAGCGATGTCATCTTGGAGGATCGAGTTTGGTCCCAGACTGTGGAGATATGGAATCTACTAGTTGCAAAATTTCATCTTGATACAGCTCTGCAATAAGATTGCCAATCAAGAACCTGATTGACAGCACCTGGGAGTGCCAGAAGCTCAAAACAAGAGTCAGTAGTAAAAGAAAAATAAGCTGTTTGGCTCATCCCACAAATGCATGTTCCTTACAAATGTGGCACCATTAAAACAGAAATTAACAGGCTTCCCAGWGGTATAAGAGTTACTGACAATAAGTGTTGTTACAACAAAGAAATCATCTACCCAACACAAATTTACTGACTTTTTGTGCTAAGTTTATGTAGGATTTAGGGGACTGACCACTGCGCTGCACTCCAAACTCCTTCCCACTCAGGATGTGGTGGAGCAGATTCTTCAGTTCGGACGGGCTGAGGCTCATCAAACTCTCTGTGGCCTCCTCTCCTGCAAAACAACACGGAAACACAAACGTTTAATTAAGCCCGATCAAAAACTTTCAGTAGATCTAACAAAACATTTCTTTGTGAGTTTAACCAAACTGCGCCAACTTCAAATTCATTATAACAAATTTGCGAAGTTATTTTAGTAATTTTTCCACATTTGTCAAATGTAAATTTAGTTTCACTGGCAAAACTTGACTCGGGTGCATCATGTCAGCGCTCTGAACATTTTGTCCTAAAGGTATAATATTAAAACTATTATCACAATTTTTTATCTTAAAATGTATTTATGCCAAAATCCCTAAAAAGTCTCTGCTAATACACACTAAATCAGCAAGAATTACTGCATACAGACAACATTTTTAGCTATAAAATACAACTTTTTATAGTTTATAATACACTCACAAACCAATATCACAAATAAAAGTTCAGAAGCAGAAAGTTTTCCTTTCTAGTCCGCTGTCTGCCTGACCTGAACAGTTGAGGGACTGGGCCAGTTCGGTGGCCATGACCTGGATGATGAGACCGATCCGGAGTCTGAACATCTCGCTGAACAGGCTGGGCTGAGTCCTGATGCTCATCGCCAGGTACACCATGATTTCCTGGTAGAGGGGGAGGGGGGGGGACAGGAGGTGAGCAGAGGAGGAGGAGCGCTAGAGGAACCGCTGAAAGACGTAGCCCACCTGAGTGAGGATGGCCACGCAGATGTTGTTGTCACTGGCCTCGTCGATGAGAGCAGACAGCTGGTCCGGAGGGATCGGWGCCGTGATGGTTTTCTCCCGCGGTTCTGGAGGAAGACCCACGGTCAGGTGCTTCTGGTGCGCCAGCAAATCGGAGCAGGCCTGGCGAGAAACCGAGACGGTTTAGAGGAGAGGACTGGAAAACGGGAAGGAGGGGACCGAAACGTGGGGCGTACCGAGTCGAGCTCCTCCACCTTCTTCTTCAGCATGCCAGAGATCATCCTGATCAGCCCCCACTGTTTGAGATCACCCGCCTTCTCGTAAAGATCAGCCAGTAAGGAGCCGACTGAGCAACCTTTACCGTGCAGCTGCGTGTCCCACTCCATACCCCTGGAATACAACASTGAGCCTTTAATTCCAACATTAATGTCSTGTTTCTTCACTCTTTCTATCGTTAATCACAAAGATCTTAATGTAGCTCAAATATAAAGTTTAAAATGTTCGGTCCAACGGTACATCTGTTTGTACCAACCTTTAGCACAGATGCACTGAAACTGCAGTTACATTTCTAGTTAACTGCATTTTGCTAACTGTCATGACAGAAAATAAGTAGAGGACACCAGGGGGTCCTCAATGTTTTTCAGTCTGGGAGCCCCAAATTGATGAAGAGATGGAGCAAGGACCCCCTTTATATATTGTATACAGACATAGGAGCTGCAGTGTTGTAAAAAAAAGGTAAGAAAGAAAAGTAACCAAAAATTTCACAACCCCACCAAAGACCTCTGTTCTACATCAAACAAAGCACAAGTGGCAGGAACAGAAAAAAGGCTGGTTTATACTTCAAGTTGCACGTCTTGCTCAGCCTGCTGAGTGACAAAACTGCGTAGCTTCCGTTTGCTACAACATATCCTGATGACACCTGTCTTATACATCGCTCCCAGTCGCAACTCTGTCCTGMAGATCTTATAGCTCACAACATGTGATTGGTCTGAACTTGCGGGGTGTTTGTTCATGTGTAGCAGTACTCCGAGCAACGCGTCTTTCTGCGAGTCATTTTGCGAAAAATGATTGGCTTTGACCCAATTGACCACGTGAACGTGCAACCAATGTTCAAGCCTTCTCTCCAGCTCTGCCATTAACAAGAATAAAAAGATTTAAGAGAGTTTTTTTTCCCGTCTGACTTTTCRCCTGACCTAGCTGATACATAGCTGAGTGAAAAAAAACGATATCCTGCTATCACCGTTGTTACTAAGCTTAGCTATGATCTGCGCCACATCGGGAGTGCTGTGGGAGAAATTATGACAATTTATCTCCYGCTTCATATTCAGCCGATTAATACTTGGTCAGAAAAAGACGTTAGAAATGACGTAGTCACTGATCTACTGCCGTAATCTACCAAATCTACCGTATTGAAATAGAATCCAAGCTTTGAACCATACTGGCCCAAGCTATATGTGTATTTCTTTCCTATATGTTTAATGTCAAGCATCATTTGCTCCACAATTATACTCAGGCAGCAGAGGCTTGTCTGAATTATTGTCTGTTTAAAAAAATGTTATTAGCTTGTTTTGTTATGAAGGTCACTGAAAATAATGTGCAAATCCTCTCGGTTTTATCATTTCTTGCTGTTACAGTAAGTCGGGTTTGACGTCATTCCCAGTTGCAAATTCTGGTTTCTGTGGCCGATGAGACAGAACAAAAATCCACCTCTAAATTGTACCAAAAAAGGAAGTTGAATACAAATAATTAAATTTGTCATTGGAATAATAAAGGTGTGTGTGGAGATATTTGGTTTGTTTCCATGAACATACTGAAAGCAGTGTTTCCATTAAAMGTCACATCTCACTTGTCTTTGAAAAGGATGTAAAGTATATCAGCCTGGTCCTGAAGGTTTTTGGTGTCTCGCAGCAGTTGGACCAAAGCGCTGTAATCGACGGCTCCGCTGGCGTCCTTGGGGATGCCGCACTCCACCGTGATCGACACCTCCGAGCTCTGAAGGATGGAGACGGAGGAAAGTTTGTTTGGAGGGTTTAAATGTTGCGTTTGTGGGAAACAAAAAATAAAAAGGGAGAGAACAAACAAACAAACAAAAAACAAAACAAAACCTGGATCAACCTGAGTTTCTTGTGGTGAGGAGGTTTCTGGGAGATTCAGGTTGAGCGATGGCTGACGAGAGCGAAACAGCTTGCTCGGTAGGTACATATTGACATCTGGACCAAAAAAAAATGTGTATAACCACAAAATTCATTCTCAAAATCAAATCTGTCGTAACTGTTGCAAAACGACGAGTTCACTTACTGTGGATGTTGAGATCCTGAGCCTTGTTCATTAGAGAAACCATCTCCTTGGTTTTAGTGGCCACAGCCTTGAACCTGCCCAGACCTCCTACCTGAGGCTTGGTTTTCTTTGGGGCGGAGTGGGCCAATAGGTGGTCCAGGTATTGCGCAAGGTCGTCTGCCTCTGAGGTGGGGAGGGGGTGGAATGAGGAAAGCACATTCTGTGTGATTAATCTGCAGCATCATAAATTAAATGTTAAAGATTTAGGGTAAAAGTAAAAATAAGACATGACATATGTTTTCTAGTTTGATTAGTTATATTATTTAAATTCTTCTCAATTATACGTAGTAAAGCACTTCAATAAATAGGATGTATTTGAAAAGAGCTGTTTAAAAACYATGCATGTAGATTTACTTTACCCAGTCACTCTTCTAAAACGTGTTCATCCTTTTGTTTTAAAATCTATTTCTATACTGTAACTTTAATGTCACTGGCCATGTTTCCATCCAACTGTAAAGCAAATTTTTAGCAAGCATTTAAAATGTCGCAATAAAGTGGGGGGGGAAAGAAGAGTGAATTAGGCGTGTTTCYACTGGTTTGGAGCGATTCAAAAAGGTCATGCAAAGAGTAATTTTGCCAGATGTTGATATGGCTGTAATAAACAGGAAGTAGAGGTTACAGAGTTAGCAGGGACCACACATCTCGGGACAATGGGGAGAACGTTTTCAAGAACGTGTTGCTATCGGCCAAGTTGTAATTGCTCTGTCAGTTCTCCCTTTTTGCACATCAACCTTTTTACAGAAAATCAAAAAACCATCTCAAGCGAACAAACGCAAAAACCTTTTTTGTGACCTGGAAGGCTTTTTTTTTTATTTAACTGTTTCCATCAACCTTTTCTAAAGCGATACTTCAAAACAAGCATAAAGGTGACTCTGCAGTTGTTGGGTGTATCAGAGATGGACAGGAAGCTGAGTACAGAGAGCTGGTGGACCGCTTTGTGACATGGTGTGGGAAAAATCATCTCATCTTGAATGTCAACAAAACAAAGGAGATGATTGTAGATTTCAGGAGAAATAGTGCTAGATCAAACCCTGTTTCCATCATGGGAGAAGAAGTGGAGGTGGTTGAGGAATATAAATACCTCGGTGTTCATCTGGACAACAGACTGGACTGGAGACTCAACAGTGAAGCAGTCTACTGTACAAGAAAGGACAGAGCAGACTGTACTTCTTAAGGAAGCTGAGATCCTTCAATGTCTGCAGCAAGATGCTGCAGATCTTCTACAAGTCTGTTGTTGAGAGCGTCATCTCTTCTGCCAYCATCTGTTGGGGCAGCAGCATCAGAGCCAGGGACCTAAAAAGGCTAAACAACCTGATAAAGAAGGCTGGTTCTGTTCTGGGGACGACTGTGGAATCTCTGGAGATGATGGTGCAAAGAAGGATTTTACATAAAATCAAGAACATTGTGGACAACCCTGACCATCCTCTTCATCAGACTGTTGACGAAGGCTTCTTCAACTTCACTGTAACACAGACGCCACAGAAGATCTTTCCTGCCCACAGCCATCAGCATCAACAATAACTCTTCAGTTAAATGAGTTACAACAACACCTAATTTCCCTCTGGGATCAATGAAGTATTTTTGAATTGAATTGAAAAAAATGTTGATGGAAACATGGCTACTGACACTTTAACTAGCATTCAAATACTTATCTTATATAAACTTATCCAATAACTGTGTTGTTTGGAAGAGAAACCAAAGGGGTCAAACTGTAGGTAAAACATGAAGTAGAAACTGGTGAAAAACTGGACTCTGCATCGGATTATTTACAGGTGAACACAAGGGCAATCTGTAATTCGAAAGGATTTTGGAGAATGGATTGGGTAAAATCTTGAAAATGGTTTCAATCTGGATGAAACCCTCACCTTGTGTTGCTCAAAACTTTTTAGTTGGGATTGGGAWAACTTTGATCCAAAAAGTCTGAGCAGTTTGGTGGATTTCAGGAACAAAATATGATTTAAATTAAACTCCAACTTGCCAAACAACATTCATCATGTAGATTTTGTAGATAATGATGTGTACTGATCAAACCAAACAGGTGGAATTATAGATTACTTTACAYTACAGAACTGTAAGGTAGAGATAAAACAATCTTCTCAACAGCTGTCAAAATTAGGGAAACAAAAACAATTTTAACTTTATTTGGAAGCTTTAAATTACGGTCCAATAATAAAAGTACTTTGAGTGATCAAATGTTGGCTAATCTACCCGTTTTACAAACCTAGTAGCTGTCAGAGTTACATGCGGTCTTATCCAGATTTGGATAAACTTGAAAAGTTGGATCTGGATAAGATTGATCCAATCCAATTTTTCTTTGAACAAATGGGATGAACGTAAGACAGACCACATGATACTGGATAGCAAAAAAATTAAAAATAAAATATAACCCAGGGATTTCCAAATCTGGGTCATTTTGATCCAGATTACCCCTTTTGAACAATGGGCCACTAATTTCCCCTTTTTATTCTTACCATCGTCACATCGTAACTCGTGCACGTATCCAGCACCGTAACCATCATCATCCTGTTCTTCGMGGTGCTGGCCCATGCCGCGGGAGCCTTTAAAGTCCAGGAAGCTGAGGTGAGCGCAGCAAGAAGTGGTCAAAAACTCCGACAACGTCCCCGTCTGGGTCCTGCAGAGGACGGAGGTGGTTATGGACTTGGACACATTTGGGTCACAGCGATGCAAACAAAGCTCAGGAGCTAACAAAATAGGCATTCTGTTAAGTGTTGAATCTCAAACCTCGCTCCTCCAAAATATCCATCCTGTAACTTCTTCAGTGTCGCCAAAACAGCAGGATCCAGGTCCGAGTGGTCTTCAGCTGGAGCACAAAAACAATGAACAAAAAACTGTTTTATAGTAAACACTTTGGCACAATAATCAATGATYGCTCAGATCTTTTATTTTGAAGTTCTGAGTCCGTTCAAGGCTAAAATGGATTACTAACATCTTAAAACTACAATCTTTACCTTTCATAATTCACTTCAGCACCATTTAATGAACTGCAGATAAATTCCTTTATATGCTTTTTTAAATAGAATTATTTGGTATCATTGGGCCCGATACCTGCGTTTTTATAAGTACTAGTATTCATTCATAAATGGAATACCAAGAACTGATGCATACTGTTTTGTGTGGACSTTCACATTATTTTAAATGCAACCTCCATTAAACTCCAGTGTGAGTGTTTTATGCCATTGATGACTCAAGGTTATTATCATTATTAGTACTTGGATCAATCCGCTCACTCCYACCTCACAGGTGTAAAAATCGTAGGAAACGAGACACAAGCATACTGACCGAGGTCACTTTGAAAAACGTCAGATATGTATTTCATTTACCAGGCTCTAAATAAAAGAAATGTGTTTTTATAACCATGTGTAATGTTTAAGTTCTAACAGTACTGGTRCTTGATATTGGCAAGTACCCAATCTTACTTATACTCATACTCGGTTTGAGAAAAACTGGWGTTGGGACACCCCTAGTTATTTCCACGTGCAAGAAGCAGCAGCTGAGGCACTTCCAGCTGGGATGTCGTACAATTTCTGCTTGAATACTGGTGTAAAACTCTGCAGAACCAATCCATAATTCCCCAAACTGAGGTCATATAAAGAATCTAAAATAAGTAAGACTTTAATTGCTCATAACCTTCTCATAGAACCACATTTCCAAATWTCTGGACCATCCCTTTAGATAGACATGTTCCTGACTCTCAGAGGACAAACAGCAGCTGCAGAAACCCACTCAGCATGCTCTGTGAAATGGGGAAAGTGATGGTCGGTCGTCCAGTTATCCTCCATCTGGATGAGAGGTAGGCGATCTCAGTCCGCAGCATCTCCACGATCATCTTGTTGTCCAGYGCCAAGTAGAACTGCTGGTGGTCGATGAACTGGGAGGTTTCAGGGGAGAAACAAGGAAACGAGATGAATTTTCAAGACGTGAAAATATCTGTAATAAAATACGTTAAATGTTTTATGAAATTATTTAGTTTCAGGAGAATTCAGGGATCCTGTTTGGAAATGAGATCTTGTGTAATTTCAGTCAACAATTTAAAACTGAACTGGTATAATAAGAGTTGCACCAGTTCATTAACGATAAAGGCCAAAATTGGTGGATTTTAAGCTTGACCTACTGATCCGACAACCAAAAATAAGATTTTTTTTTCCTGGTCAGTGAACACAACAGAGCTAAACAATAATCACAGTGTCTCTCTCTCTCTCTTTTTTTGTCCATAAAAGCACTTTCTGTAAGCGGCTAACGAATGCTAGTATTAGCATGTCTTCACTGTTGACATTTTGAAAACTCAGCGGTTTTATCTGTAAGGTGTTTGAAACAAAGTTAAAGGCAAAACAAGAGAAGTAAAAAGCCACAACTACTTTTCTACGGAGGTTTATCACTTTACAGGCTGTTTCCTTTGACAATAAAAACAATAAAATATTTGGGTGCTATATAATTTGGTGTAAAGGAATATTTTTATTGCTTTCAGGTTTTTTTTGTTTTGTTTTTGTAAAACTTAATCGATTCCATAACCAAAAGGATCTTATTAGAGAAAGAGAGAAAATCCAACTGGTGCTGTTTCGAAAGAAAAATCTCTACAGTTACTGTAAACACAGTCAATTTTCTTTTTAACCAGGAAAAAAAAAGAAAAGTAATACATGTCRACAATCACAGCTGAAAATCAGTACAGATTAAAACCTGAGTTGGCAGGTCAAAAAATGGACATTGGAATGGGTCTAAAAAAAACTCTTATTTGTGAATATCTAATAAAGACAAAATGACAACAAAAMCACTTCACAGTTTGTCTTGTATTAACCTGAGGTGTGAACACAAAGATGGTGTTCCTGATGATGTAGAACTTGGAGGTTCCCAGCACTCCTATCCTCCTGTAGGGTCGTCCCGTCAGACCGAGCCTCGGGTTACGACCTAAAACACAGAAAAAAATAGAAATTAAAATAATAACAACACAAAAGTTAGTTAAAGTTCGAAACAGGTTCTAGTGTAGATGTTAAATTTGTAAGATTAGAACAGAACTCAGTAGTTTGTTTCAGTTCTTTACCATCTTTAGCCTTTCTGTTGTGACTCAAATAAGAAGTTTCTTTCTTTTTTCTTGAATTGAATTTAGAATTTTTCTGATGCACATGATCGACTACAGGTAGGTCGGACTAATGTCGACTTAAACTCCCTGTTAGAGAAGGAAATGCTACAACTTCTTGTTTAAATGCCATTTACACTTTTTAAAATTTAAATAGTGACGGTATATATACGCTATATATTGTATGATGGATCCAGTTTTGAGTGTGTTCCGTTTGTAATAAAAGAGGCTGTAATCTTGTGCTTTAATGCAGAACCAGTGGGTGTTTTCCTGCAAATAATTGTTTTCCATGGTTTTCTTGTGATCACAAAATAATGAGCTTTGTCGCAAGATAACGAGTTAATTTCCAATGGTTTTCCGCTTGTGCATCATTGTTTGTTTGTTTATTTATTTATTTATTTATTTACCAAAGTTAATCCGGCAAATCCCATTGAGACTGCAGATCTCTTTTGCAAAGGTGGCCTGGGCCTGAAGGCAGCCTAGTGTACATAACAGGGCTGCCACGATTAATCGATGACTAATTTTAATAATCTCATTTTCTTTCTTTTTTTTTGTTCTTTACTTTGTTTTTCTCTCCAAACTGCTTTGACACCTTCCACTGCCACATCTGCCTTTCTGTCCTTGACACACATGCACAGTAGTGGTAACTGGGGTAGGCCGTGGACGTCACAAGACATTATACAGACAGGCTCTGGGATCATGGCTACCTGACAATGGAGCTCAAAAGTGTGGGATCATTTTAAGAAAATGAAAGAGAAACCTGTGCAATATCTGCAGAGCAGAACTATCCTTCCACAGCAATTGTTTTTAGTTAGCATATAGCTAAAATCTAACCATGGTTATATAATATCAGCTGCATTCTGGCGCAATAAGCTCTTTTATATATATAATATATATTTTATATATGTTTTGTATTCAATTAATGTATGATCCAATTAGTCGACAAATCGAAAAAATAATCTGTGATTAATCGATTATAAAAATAATCGTTTGTGGCAGCCCTAGTACATAATTCATAATTTTGTGTCATTTTTGTTTCATTACACAGGCCGAAATTGTGATTTGTTTGTCTTGAACAGATAACTTTCATATCAGCCCTCGTCATCTAAGGAGACGGCTGACCCAACTGCAGCTCAGCRGGCGTTTTACACAGTGATCCTGCTGATATAAACTTTATCACGACCAGCTGAGGGGATCGGCCCGTCTCCATGTTTACTGAATAATGCACAAGAAAACCATAACTTGTTATCTCAAGAAAACCATCTGGAAATTAACTCRTTATCTCAATAAAATGGTTCTTGTTATTTCGCGATAACGACATTATATGTCGTTAATGATTTCAAAGAGAAATTATGTAATTCGTAAATTACGATTTGCATTATTTTTATTTGCAAAATGACATCATAATCGTATAAAGTGAATTTATTGACATGAAATAAAAATAAATAAATAAAAAAACTACTTTCAAATACAGAAATGCTTGACCCAAACTTTTCCCCAAGCATAAAACCGCGTACCGAGTCTGGCGTAGATGTGGCCGAGGACTCTGGAGGGCTGCACGTGGATGGGATGAATATCAGCCACAGTCTCCACATTTATCCCGTTCTTCATCAGCAGCTCCTTAATCTCCTCCGTCTCAGCCAGAATCGACACTGGGTGGGGGAAAAACAACAAGGTTCGAAGAGGCGTAAACACAAATATTTGGCTGCTGTTCAGGCAGTAAGCTCACCCTGTACCACCACGTCAGGTTTGGGGATGGTGGAGAAACGTCGGTTAAGAGGGTCGATCTCTCCGGGGGCCAGAAACCCCTAAAAGTTAAAACAAATAAAATATATATTCTTATTTAAAATTGGTACTTTTGATATTTGCTTGAACATTAAGCAGTCAGAGGTGMTGACGTGGTGGGTTCACCTCAGTTAGGAGTTTTCCGAGGACGTACAGAGACTGTCCCCATTTCAGGGGACATTTGCCCATAGGGATCCTCTTTACAGTATGAGGGTTCATGTACTCCTCCTCCACCTGTTTGAACACAAACAAAAAAACAACAACAACATTTTCACTGAAACACAGTTAAAACTGAACMCTCGAAGGATTCACTGTGTTTTCAGGACGAGTTTGACCTTTTCAGCGGGAACGCTGTAGAGCTTGGGCAGCAACTTGATCCCGTCTTTCTGTTTGATCAGGATCCCCTCCAGAGCCTCCTGATACTCCTGCACCTGGATTATAGTCAGCAGAAACACTGTTTGTTCCTCCTGTGTACTYTTTTGCCACCCATTTACTCCTGCGTACTCTGTCCTGTCGCAAACATTCAAACGTCTAAAAGCTTTCAGGAGATGCTAGCTACGACTTTTGGTTTTTGACCATTTATRGATTTTGTTGTTTGTTTATTCATCTAGAATGTAAAATCTGTAAATATACTTAAAAAAAGAAAAGAAAAAACATAAAAACTGTTATAGAAAGGGCCAGAATGAAGCAACTAGCTTCTAAAGTCAATACATCATCAATCATACAAGCTCCCATCCGAAGTGATAATATGAACAGTTACAGTTTTGAATACCTGTAATAAAAGTACCTATGCTGAGGTTTGATGTACGTGAYTTACCTGTTCATGACTGTTGCTGAATATTCCGTCCAATATGAGGTAGGTCCAGAAGAGAGGCCACTCACACTCGATATTCTCAAACAGCTTCAGCTCTGCAGACTCATAATACAACCGATTTGGGTCCTTTACAGAGGCAGACACACAAATCACATCACAAACGGCCCAAAGACCCTTTCTTTTCTTCTCTTTTTGATATCCAGATGAAAAACGATTTATCTTCATTCAATCTTGAAGTGGATTCTATTGGTCCTTTCGCTACTTTAACTGAATGCTGGTGATATTTTCAATATCAGCTGGAAAATCCTGATATTCAACGGTTTCCTCTTTCACATGACATCAAGAAATCTTCATTAGACGACATTAAAATAATAGACCAATTTTAATGAGGACTTCTGGATTAGCAGGCAAATCAAACCATATCTCTGGAAACTTTCATGATATCAGGATGATTTAAGAATCAAAATGTAGCTCATAAAGCCAGGAATAAAAACATGTTCTAAATGCAGTTTGACCAAATATGACTTAATCCCTGATTTGATCCAATGTGTCACAAATATTGTCTACTTTTGTAGGTTTCCAAAGCAGTATATAAAGGAATTAACTATAATTATCTTTTTTAATTACTTTTTCCTATGAAGAAACATGTTTTCTATTTAAAACAAGCCAATATTTCAGACTTTAGTTTTAGTCCATTTACTTCAAGGCTGATTCCAAGTCTTCCTGTGACACTCAGCTCTCTTTGACTGAACCTCTCAGTATTCATTCAGCGTCTTTCCTTTCATTGCTGCTCCCGGCTACCACAGTTTAAACCACTGAATTTCCCCCAAACAGCCCCATAAAATTCAAAACATTGCCTCTGTGAACAAAGAGAAAAAAATCTCCTCTCTTTTTGTACTGCTTTGATAATAAAAATTTTAAAAAGTGACATACAATTTCTGCAAAAAGGAAGTCTTTACACCTAAAATGAATGAGTAACTATGTTTGGAAAACTATACGCTCTACATGTTTTGTGTGTCTTTTTACCTCTTTAGGAGTTTTGTGTCCATCTCTGAGAAACCTGCAGCAGCCGTATCGACCCTAAACACAAACAGCAGAGACTCCTATCTGTTTCTGTTCTTTGTTTAAAGCATCCTGAATTAAATAAAACTCAAAACGAAAGGCATTCCTTGAAAGAATATGCATTGCCCTGCTTAAAATTAATTTATGCTTAGAAAAAGAAAACTTATGTTGACGAAAAACTGTTTTGGTCGAAACTTGAAATGAACTTTTCTTCTTTCTGCTTCCTTTTATTTCATTTATGACATTTTTTTATGTAAATAGATTTTCTTTTGTATGTTTTAATGAATATATA